ACGGAAAGGGGAATAAATGCAGGTTTAAATGAATTGTGGGAGATATTATGAGGGAGTGGGGGGGGGATAAATGCAGGTTAAATTAATTGCACTTGGATCTTATGGAACTGGTAGAGTTTAAGCCACGATCAGTTGATCCCATTAGGGATTGATGGGCGGAGAGAACCTTTTCATTCAGAGGGTGATTTAGGGAAAATAGATCTGGTAAGGAGCTTACGGCGCAAAGAAACACAACAAGGAAAGACTAGAAAAGAGAATATAGAATCATGGGTGGAGAGTGGACCTGTTTGTCCTTCAAATTGGCCAGATGAGAAAAAGGGAATCCACGAATTTGATACCTCTACTTTGTTGATGTAGGTTAACACAATCTTGAAAAGCTGACTGTTCTGTCTTCCTGGGGAACGAGTGAGAACTGTGTTCCAGCTTCTTAATGTTGTCCATGTTTCCAAGGGTCCATGGACTTGAATCCATGCTTCAAGCATGCTTGGGTTTCTGCAGACCTTCTCTGAGGTCATCTCTGGTTCTCTAGGAGAGCAGCTACCACCCTTCTTTTAACCAACGGGTCTCGGTTGAGCAGAATACTTGGATGACCCAAATGTTAGCTAGACAAAGTGAGTTTTTGAGGAAGGACTGAAGGTTGGAGGTTTCACAGAAGAATTTGGAGTGGCAATTCTAGGTGTAATGGGCAGCGAGAGGAAACGGAGGCAGGTGGAAACAGGATAGCTTTCATCTCAAGGAGATCAAAGAGCAACGTGCTGTCTTCTGCTGCTTGTCCAACCGAAGGATGGATTCCAGGATTCCTGGTATCACAGCATCATCTCAAGAACTTCCAGAAAGGAGCACCTTATCCTGATCTGTGCGGTGTGTGCTTGTGTCTTCCAACTTGCAGGAGATGCAACGATCTCATTCGCCCAGCCTGTCTCCGTCTCGGCATCCCTGGGGAAAGCCGTTCAGATCTCTTGCACCCTTTCCAGTGGCACCATGGCAACCCACACCGTAAGCTGGCTTCAGCACCAACTGCCAAACCCTCCCAAATACCTTCTGTATTATAAAGATGAATCCAATCAAAGAAGGAAAACTGGAGTCTCAGATAGATTTGCGGCTTCCAAAGATGCTGGTCTTAACGCCTGCTATCTAACCATCTCTGAGGTCCAAGCAGCAGATGAAGCCACCTATTATTGCCTATCATCCACAGGTTCAGAATACCACTGTGCTACACATTATGGAGAAATGAACACAAAAGCCCTACCCCTCGGGGAATTCATTCACGACAGCTGGTAAGAGAGGGCCACCTGGCTGTGGGATTCAACTTAAGGTCTGAAGATGTTCTCTAGCTCTGATCAATCATGGAGTTCAATTGGGAAGACAGTTGGCAGAACTTGGGATTCAGATGTGACATTTGCATTCTGAATCCTCCCCCTTCCTCTGTGAATGGACATTTAAAAAGCACAACAAAGAATGTTCTTTTTGTGCCAAATCAGAAAGCTCAAACTATCCAAAGAGCTGCTGATTCTTTTCTATAGATGAATGGTTGAGTCTGTCATCTGCACCTCTATAACTGTCTAGTTTGGCTCTGCAACCCAACAAGACAGACAGAGCCTTCAGAGGATAATCAGAACTTCAGAAAGAAACAATTGCTGCCAACCTGCCTTCCATTGAGGATCTGTGCACTGCACGAGTCAAAAAGAGGGCTGTGAAAATATCTACAAAGCCCTCGCACCCTGGACACAAATTGTTTCAATTTCTACCCTCAAAACGATGCTATAGGGCACTGCACACCAGAACAACTAGACACGAGGACAGTTTTCCCCCTGAATGCCATCACTCTGCTAAACAACTAATTCCCACAACACTGTCAATAATTTACTAAGACTGTAGTTACTCATCTCTTCCTTCCTAGTATCTATCTCTCC